GCATTTTATGAATGTGTGGCGAAGTAAATTCACATTTTGTGAAACCTGGTTGGGGGTGCTCAAAGTATGAGGGTCTTGTATCCACGCAACACAGGTAGTTGCAAAAACATGTTATTGTTCTGTGCAAAGATGCGTAGGCATCTGACTTGGTTGGCTTTGTACCTTGTCCCTTTGCTAGCTTTTGTGATACATCCAGAACCCTCAGCACATACTGTGTTATACTTCCTTTTGTAAATGATTTTTTTAAATGGAATTTTGCACATAATACATTGTAATACTGTACGATAATCATGTGTGAAAATAATTTTGAAATATTCTTTGGTTGCCTTTTTTCTTGGAGAAGCAGGATATAATTGCGCGCCACATAATGTGATGTGAATCAGAAACCCACGCTGGTGTTTGTGGTTAGATAATCTGCAGAGAGGAAACAGAAAACTTGACCTCTTCAGCAGCTTATGTACTGATGTGAGGCAAAAAACAAGGAAAAGGGTGTTCTAACCGGAAAGAATACCCAGTGTTACCTACACAGTAATGGGCGTGGCTGGACCTGGAGGACAGTCACAGTTCATCAAACGGGCCCTGCAGACAACCTGCCCATTGTTTTGCAACCTCCAAAGTGCCCTGGCTGAGAGTTAGGGGCTCTTTCAAAATCAGGGCAGAGGTTTGGTCTTCTTTGCTGCGATATCCCTGGTGCTTGGAGCCCCGCCTGGCAGTTAGAAGTGCTTGATAAGCCCTATGTCTGAGCAAACTTCCTAACCCAGTAGGATGGGTCCTTCAACACCAGATGGCCTGCTCTTTGTATTTACAAAGAATCAAAAATGACAGTCCACCCATATAGTGGTCCTCCCCACCCTCCAAGTTAAGGTCACCAAGTTGTTCTTGTCCTTAGAAATCCGAACTCTGCTGATTTAAAGCAAGTCACAACGTCCGAATAGGAGACAGACTCAGAGGACAGCGAGATCCAAGCAGGAAAAGTTAGTGTGAGCAAAAGAAAAACATCACAAGACAGCGCCTGGTGTTGTGTTGCCATTGGGCAACATTTCCCTGCTAAAATTACAACATCACATGTGTCTTCGCCTTTTCCCCCCACGCAGACATTTCTCAGTTCTTCAAATTGTCAGGAAACAGATTTTGGTAGTTTGGCAGGAATAGAAGGAGAGTAAAAATATACATGCTGGTGGACGGAGAGGAGAATGTATTTCCAGATCTAAAAATGTGTTATAAAAGTTGAATGCCGGCCAGAGGAAAGGAGTTTTTAAAAAATCTTGCATGCACTGCCCAAGGATCCCCCCCGGGGACACAGAGTAGAAATAGAAACTGTTCGTGTGGTTTATGTCATGTGAAAGTTACAACTTCAGATCTATAAGAAAACACAACAGGCAGGAAGCCCAGCCATGAATGCTTTCATTCATAAATGTGCCTGCATTCACTGGCCAGCTCTCACCTCCAGTGACTTGGAATGAAAGAGCACTCGGATTATTAGCAGCACTGCCTGGGTACTCCCCCAACGTCTGAGAGAGACGTGTCGGTACCTGGGACACGGGTATTTTCACCATCTGGCAGTATCTGATGATAAAGCCCTAAAAAACATGATCTTTCAGACCATATTCGTGATGGTAAATTTGAGGCCGCAACTCATTTACTGTTGCTCATTTACTTAGCCCTGATCAAGTGCGGGATCTGAAAAAATTCACATAACATTGCAAAATTACAAACAGATAAGACGAATTGGAAGGAAGGAGAAGGAAAGTAGCGTTTTGTCTCAGAGAAGAGGTTCTTGCTTGAGAAAGATCTATTTGATCGGCAGTTGACACAAACGTTTGCCACATTAACACCGACTTTGCCAGGAAAGGCCTCGAACATTGAAATTACTCAGAAAAGTCTGCTTTTGAATAAAGTGATAACCAAGTTGGGCCCTGAGATCTCAGAGCTCAGAGAAGTCTACAGAAGCCCGGGTCCAAGTGCAGCAGCTGGAGGAATGGGAATAGCTGCTTCCTTTATTTTGATAAACTAACACTCCTAACCAGACTTTGCCTGCATTCTGAGACTCCACATGATATTGAGAATAGCATCATGTACATGAATCTGAGATGTCTGTTGACTAAATGCACTAGAACCACTGCAGTCGGCCCTCTGTGCTCAGCCTGGAGGGCAAAGGGGACCTCCGACCAGAGGTGGCTAGGGCCAGACGCAGCTAAGGGTGCGGATTCCCTCAGGTCTGCCTCTCAGCCGCCCGGGTGAGGGCCTGGGGGTGGTTTGCACCTCTGTAGCCAGCCCTTGGTGTCCTGGGGGAAATAGCACCTCCTATGGAGACATTTTTTGGCTGTGGCTTCCCTTTCCCCGCATTTTGCTCCAACCTTTCCCTTTCTCTAACTTCTCCCCCTGACTGGAGGGCAGGTTTCCCTCACACTAGTTTTCAATGAGAGCCATTACGAGGCTCTTTGCCAATCGCAGGGCTCTGACTTGCCACATCCTTTCCACAACCTGTTTCTCTAATTTCAACTAGAGATGCAAAGTTTGGGACAGACCCCACTGCAAACACTCCCACCTGCCCATCACCAGGACTGAGTCCACTGTTCCTACTTGGATCTGGTTCTCAGCTTTGGTTAATTCTTCAAATCACCTGCAGGTGTTTAAAGCTCCTGAGTCCCAGGCTGCCCAGACCATCAACACCTCTGCAGATGGCACCAGGCTGCCCAGACCGTCAACACCTCTGCAGATGGCACCAGGTTGCCGTAGTTACTAAAACTTCCAAAGTGATCCTACTGCGAAATCAGGCCTGAGAACCACTGGGTCATAAGATAGAAACACATCTGGGAGAGGTAAGACCTGTCCAGGGCCACTAACACCTAACCATGTGTAGGGTCTCCATCTTATTTCTTTTTTTATTTTTAAAAAATATATGTTTCTTGATTTCAGAGAGGAAGAGAGAGAGATAGAAACATCAATGATGAGAGAGAATCACTGATCAGCTGCCTCCTGCAGGCCCCACACTGGGGACTAAATCCGCAACCCAGGTATGTGCCCTGACCAGGAATTGAACCGTGACTTCCTGGTTCATAGGTCAATGCTCATCCACGGAGCAACGCCAGCTGGGCTCGATCTTACTTCTTATTCGGCTGGCAGAAGTACTTCTAGCATGGCACTGTTCTATAGAAATATGCAGCAAGACACATAAGTCATTTTAAAATTTTACAGTAGCCACATTAAAAAAGGAAAAATGGGTAAAATCAACACTAATATATCACTATGTTACTAATAATTTATTTTAGTAATATACTAGAGGCCCAGTGCATGACATTCATGCAATGGGGTGAGAGGGTCCCTCAGCCCAGCCTGCTCCCTCTTGCAGTCTGGGACCCCTCGCTCCATACCGCCCACTTGCAGCTGAGGCAGGAGAGGCACTGACCACCAGGGGGCAGCTGAGTTGAGCGCTGCCTCCTGGTGGTCAGTGCGCATCATAGTGATTGGTCATTCCGCCGTTCAGTCAATTTGCATATTAGCCTTTTATTGTATAGGATTAGTAATACATTTTATTTAACCCATGATATCCCAAATATGCTATTTCAATAATCAATCTAAAACAATAAAGAAGTATTTTACATTCGTTCAGTTTTTAACATTGTCTTCAAAATCTTGTGTATGCTTTGTACTCATAGCATATCACATTTCACACTAGTCCTGTCTCCAATGCTCATTAGCCCAACATAGCTAGTGGCTACCATATTGAACACTGCAGTTCTAGCATTTTAACTAGCAATGATTTAAAAAGCTAAAACAAATAATGATATCCTATATAATAAAGAGCTAATATGTTAATTAGATTGGACAGCGGAACGACCATCTGGACCACCGTCTGGATGAAGCCAGGGCTGTGAGGGCCGAGGCCCTTGCATGAATTTTGTGCATCTGGCCTCTAGTCTATATATACAAAAGCCTAAGCGACCAAATGACCGGTTGATCAGTCACTATGATGCACACTGGCCACCAGGGGTAGATGCTCAACCTCCTAGTGGTCAGTGCGCTCCCACAGCAGGAGCGCCACTCAGCCAGAAGCCGGGCT